ATTCGCGTCACACGGGTTATCGTAAGCAACGACTGGGGTGACTTAACAGGGCATTCAGCTCGTGAAACCAACTCCAGTATCTGATCTGTGGAGAGGAGGATTTTCTTAGGACATTCTTAAATCATACTGCGATACTGGGCCACAAGTGACCTACACTGATTCTGAACTGGTTAAGCCTTTGAAACATGAATTTCTTCGAAATTTCAATTAAAAATTCAATCCATATCTTACAGTAGAATAATCAAATTAAGGTGAATGAGAAGGAAAAGTTATGTAACAGGAATTCGGAGAAGAGGCATGCATGTAGGTTTTTTGTGGGAAAGCCAGAAAGAAAGAGACCACTAGAAAACCAATACTTAAGTGCGTAAATAATACTGAAATTCATCTTAGAGGGATAGAAGGACGCTGTATGGGCTGGATTTATTTGGCTCGGCATAAGGGCTAATATTTACTCTTTTGAACACGTTAATGAAGCTTCGGGTTCCATAAAGTATTGGGAAGTTCTTGATCAGCTACACAACTGGCGGCTTCTCAAGAAGAGCTCAGCTCCATGAGGTTAATTTAACCATATTTCACAGAAGACAAAGGTCTACTGCCCTTAAATTAAGAACATAAATATTATTAAGAAAAAAATTGTTTTTTCTGAGGATTTTAAGAAACGCTTAAACGTACCCTGTGGATACAATATAGATTATTTTACTGTTCATACCGCTGGCACATATAATAAGCCCGTGTTAGTAACCTAGGAAGAGATGTAGTTTACTTCACTAACAAAAAGCTGAGATAACATCAGGGCCCATGTATATGCTGAAATTCACTTCGAATACAGGATTCAGAAGGCAACAATGACGGTATCTTCGGAAGATTACCACAACCAATAACTAAAGGCGGAAACAATATGGGGACGCAATTGTTTTTCTAAGGGCTACTGGCTGGACTACCAGGGTTCTATTCACGGCAAGAGCAAGGGATTTTTCTGTACTCCACATTGTCCAGATTGACTATGAGGCTCACCCAGGGACATATAAAATGTGTAACGGGGGCCATTTCTCTGGCGGTGAAGCGGCCGAAGCGTGATGCTAGCCACTTACCTGCATTTAGGGTCTAGGACAATAATTATGGAGTTTCATCTCCACTTCCCATACATCTTCATGGCGTGGTGACATGAACTTAGAGAAGAATTTAAAATATAAAGTATATTAACTCCGACTTGTAACTGTGGTTTCCACATATCTGAACTATTCGCCATTATGGTTGGGCACCTCTAAAGGAATTTACGTCAGGATTGTATAGTATTCTGAATCTGAGGTGACTTATTCCCTTCTTACCCAAAAGCCTTTCATTTCAAACGACAAAACAACCACAACTCAACATGATCTCCCCTTCTCTGATGTGCGTTGACATCCGACCCTTGTCATCGCGGTGGGCAGCAAGACTTTGCATGCCGAGTAGGCGTCGCGACGTTCCTCCCCCCTCCAATATTTTATCCGTTTCTTAGTGCACGGCGGGGAGACAAGGACGAACATGACATCGGACAAGCTACCACAGAGGGTTGTGGGGAGCGACGCTGATTTATCGGACAGACGACTCGACGTCAGAATGACGCAACAGGTGGCTGCAAGGGGACCTCCGGCTGTTGACATGTCATCTCCCCTTTCACATTCTTGTTCGCATACCTCGACCTCCGGCTTGTTGCAGTCCACAAACGAAACGTTAAATCCGCTTGTTTGCAAGCCTCACGCCGGAACTCGTGTGACAAAGACAGAAACGTGTACCGAAGCAAACCACAGACTTTTCTTCGTATAACGACGCTGTATTAGCTGCTGAATTTAAAGTGTTTCTCCACAACATCAAGCCGCTTCCTCAGGTTTCGGATGGAGAAGACGGAATATGCATAAGGAGAGTAGTCGCGAATTTATTGAATGAAAAATAACGTACACGACAAACATGACCCTGCAGTCTAGAGGTTGGGGGTTGGGGCTAAAATCTCCTCAGACAACAAAAACAAACTGCGTGGTTTTAGTCCGCAAGCGAACTATACCGACCGAGCGACCGCCGCTTGCCGAAATTAGTGCCAAATTTAGCGGATAGAAGGTATCACGTGGTCAGCACACCGAATCCCCATGGCCGTTAGTCTCAGTTTTCCAGACCGGAGCCGCTATTTCCTTGAAAGAGCTCTTCAATTATCATGAGGCTGAGTGGGCCCCATTCCAGACCCACTACATCTGAGAAAATCTGGTAGCGCCGGAAATCGAACCCGGACCTCTGGACCTGTAGCCAGGAACTCTGATCACTAGACCACAAAGGCGGTAAAATCTCCTCAGCTTAAAAATAATTTTGTTATGAAATGTTGAGGAGTCGGGATAGTGTATTCGTTATAGGGACTGGCTAGGTGCTGGACGACAGAGGAGTCGGAGTTCGAGTCACGGTAGGGTATAACATTTTGTCTTCTCTACCTCATCCAGATCGGTTCTGGAGCCCACTGAGCCTACTTTCCAACAGGTATTTGGACTCTTTCTTTGGGGGTAAAGCTGCCGGGACGTGCAGCTGACTACTCACCAGCAACCAGACAAGGAAACGTGGATCTATACATCCACTATCCCATACGCCTTCATGGGGTAGATCCTAATTAGTTGAGTACAGGAAACACTTTACTTTTTTTTTAAGAAATGTTACAAAGTGTCTCGGACCTGGATGGATTTTTGGATAAGCAACCTAAACTAAGGAAAATGGATAAGAGATTTATTGCAAGGAACTTAAGGAGTTTATACAGAGCAGGTTCGTTCACGGGAGTTGCAAAATAAATATTAATACGTATATCGATCTCAGAAGAATAGGATTGGGTTAAGCGGGCTATACTGATCTGTCTCAGGACGGGTACCAGGTCAAGGATATTGCGAACACGGTAATGGGCCTTAATGTTGCATAAAATATTCGGACATTCTTGAGTAGCTGCACAACTGGCGGATTCTGCAGAAAGACTCTGCCCCTGGAGGTAGTGGGTTCGCAGTTGCTGTCGTAGTAATTACAGATGTCAGAATTAAGAATACAAGAAAAAGCATTTCCACTCAGGTCTACTCTGAGAGTAACTTTATGAAGTTTCTCAGTTGGAAAGTCGGTTCTAATCAACAGAGCGTGGTGATTGCCTCTTCGGGTTCGAATCTCAAGTAGGTCATGTGTTGTGTACTTTTTATGGCTTTAGTGGTTCAGCTGCACACTGGAGCTCAACGGAGGCAAAGACGGTTTGACTGGTGAACTCTCAACAGATAAAGAGCAGGCAAGAAAACTACTGGGGACGTACCGTGTTGCCTGATGCTCTGCGCAATTAAACTGCGCAGGATTCTTCAGCAGCACGAAGCGAAATGGGAGTAGAAAAAAATTGCTTTAAAGTTAAATATATGCGTGGCATGTACAATGGCCATGACATAAGCAGCTATACAACAAGTAATGGGTCTCTAAGCAACTACCGTTGCTAGGTAATGAGCGCAACAGATTTGTCACACACAGCAATGGAGTAACTAGGAAGCGGTTTTCCCTGCGTGGTCCATGAAGCAGTTATATGACGTAACAATTGAACAAATGCTGGGAGAGGTGTTTTCTGTGCTGTCCGTGCCGAGATTATATAACTAGGAGCAGGTGCGACTACGAGAAAATCTTAAGACGGCAGTTAGAATAGTAGGAGGTTGGTGTGAGATAGTAGCCGGTCAGCAAGGACGCCAATACCGTAGCTAAGGAAGCTACGGTGTTTGAAGCAGTTTCCAGGCGACAATCGATGAAGCTACAGTAGAATGCGAAGACTTAGTGCTTGATGTAGTGAATCAGTGATGGCGCTATAGTTTCTTGTTGTAAAGATCTGTAAGTGTTCAAAGAATCTATTACCAATCAAAATCCCGTCAATACTCATCCCATCACGTGGAATTATGAGAATTATTATGCATTTCCTGATGAACTGTGAGAGGGATTCCCCAGATAACACTAGAAAATATGGAAGAAACGTTTAATTTAATAGCGTAATATGTTGAGGCACTACGCTACTAACCGGAAGGTTGAGGGCTCGATTCCCGATGAAGTCACTGGATTTTCAATTGACTTCATTTTCAGCAGTGTTATGGCCCTGAGGCCGACTCAAACAATAACAGATAAGAGTGCCAGGAACATTCCTAAGGTATAGGGCGACCGGCGCGTAAGGTTGACAACGTCCCTGCCATATATGAACCGATCTACTGAATATGATCCACTGGACGTCCGAAATAACTCTGGAAGGATCAGCCTATATTACAAGGGATCGGAATGGATCGAACTACCAAACCATGATGATGATGATCATGAAGATGATGATGATGATGATGATGACGATGATGAAGCATGTGACCTAAACGCTTTGATATAGTACTAAGAGGGTTACAACCCGCAACTAAAAGCGATTTCCTCTAAAATGTTGAATAAGACTTTTCAATAAACGTTCATTACATAATAAATTAGATAATTTCTATTCGAATCGAAAAAATAATAACATTATAAGTTCAATCCTGTTACACACCTCCAGAAGGCATAAGAATTATGGAGCGGCAAACAAACTCAATAATGAATAATTCGTGAAAGTGAAAAGAACATGAGACTCAGACACAATTTACGATTATGAATAAAATTGTCTATAGCTCATAACTAAAAAATTTAGTAATAGCTTCTCAGAGGATCCAGGATTCATTTACGGAAGCCAACCAGTGCCAAACTGGCAATAACAATATGAAGTCTATGTATACATAGGTCTATGTTTCAGATTTACACGTACCTTCCAAAAGATGATCCAAAATCTTACATTTTTATGTTGTTGGTACAAGTTGAATAAACGAGTAAGTGTTACTATTGCGTTCACTTCTATATGCATACACAAACACCGCGTACTTTTGCACATCTCGATGTTTGTAAATATAATTCATTCTCCTTTATACTCGTACGTAGGCCATTTTTAAACAAAATGTACAACTTCATCTACTTACCGATTCAAATTCTTGGTTTCAAAGTTGATAGCCCAGACCTTTCCAAATATGCTGATACGAGAGCTCATAGAGGAACCCTGGAAATAAATTTGTAGCTATTTTAGCACAGAAAATAAAATAATGCAATAATGTATATATATTTAATCAACAGTGGATTTTAGTAGACAAATTACACTCTATTGTAATTCCCAGTCATTCGTAACTTATAACCTTAGAGGCATGGTGGTCTTTAAATTAGCTTAAGATTTAATAAAAAACTCCATGATTTTAGTCCATAAGCGAATTATACCGACCGAGCGACTGCCGCTTCTCGACGAAGTTAGTACCAACTTTAGCGGGCAGAGGGTGTAGCGTGGTCAGCGCAACGGATCTCCTTACTTACTTACTCATAGAGCTGAGCCCTTCTTGAGGAGCCGCTAATTCTGCAGCTACTCAAGAATTTCGCAGCATTTTATGGAACCCGAAGGTTCATCACCGTGTTCACAAGAGCCCTCCACTGGTCCCCATCCTGAGCCACATCTATCCAATCCATACCATCCCATTCTATCTCTCTAAGATCCATTTTAATATTGTCCACCCACCTACGTCTTGGTCTTCCTTGTGGTCTCATTCCTTCTGGCTTTCCCACCAGTATCCTATACCCATTCCTCGTCTCCCCATTCGTGCTACATGACCTGTCCACCTCATCCTCCTTGACTTATCATTCTAATTATACTTGGAGAAGAGTAAAAGTTATGAAGCTCCTCATTATGCAGTTTCCTCCAACCTCCTGTGACTTCATCTCTCTTCGGTCCAAAATTTTCCTCAACACCCTGTTCTCAAACACCCTCAGTCTTTGTTCCTTCCTTAATATCAGAGACCAAGTTTCACACCCATACAGAACCACAGGCATAATTATAGTTTTGTATATTCTAATTTTTATGTCTTGGGACAACAGAGGAGAAGACAAAAGGTTCTGGACTGAATGGTAGCAAGCATTACCGGAGTTCAATCGCCTCTTAATTTCCTTCTGAATCAGGTTTCGATCTGTTATGGTTGTTCCAAAATATCTTAACTGTGACACATTTTCAAAACATCTGTTTCTCATATTTATGTCATGATTTTGCCCTGCATTTTGGTGACGAGGCAGCAACATATATTTAGTCTTCTCTGTGTTTACTTCTAGATCAACCTCTTTACTTACGTCAATTAAAGTTTCTGTGTTTTTCTTTATGGTATCTACATTATCACCCAGTAGATTCACATCATCAGCATAGATCAACAGTTGATGTGTCCCGTTTAATTTCAGTCCCACCTGGTTTCCCTGGACCTTCATAATGGCATATTCTAAAGCAAAATTGAAAAGGAGTGGCGATAAAGCATCTGCTTGTCTTAGACCATTCTCGAAAGGAAATTTATCAGATAAGTGTTTACCTACACGGAATTTACTACACGTTTGGTTTAAACACATTTTAATCAACCTAACGTAGTTTCATGGGTATCCCAAACTCTAACAGAATATTGTATACATCATTTCCCTCCTAACTGAATCTTAGGCTTTCTTGAAGTTTACAAATAACTGATGTACTGTCTCATCGTACTCCCATTTTTCTCCAATATCTGACGAATGCAAAAGATCTGATCTGTAGTTGATCTGTTACGTCGAAACCCACACTGCTGATCCCCAATAATTTCATCTATATATGGACTTAACCTTGAGAGAAGAATATTGGATAAAATCTTGTATGAAGTTGATAGCAGTGATATCCCCCGATAATTACTACAATCAGTTTTATCAACCTTCTTGTGAACTGGATTAATAATAGACTCCTTCCATTGAATAGGCAATTTTTCCTTATGCCAAATAGAAGTAATTAGATTGTGGATCTTAGAATGTAATATTTCGCCTCCTGCTTGAAAAAGTTCTGCCGGAATCTGATCACTACCTGGCAATTTATACCGTTTCAATTTTGCAATAGCACTTTCAGCCTCAAAAGGGCTAGTATCAGGTACTAACGGCTCAGCTGTATGGATTTCTGTCTGCCTAACATGACTGACCCTATGTACATTCAATAACTGAGAAAAGTAGTTCTTCCACCTTTACAAAATGTTGTGGGAATCTGCAAGCAGATCACCATTCTAATCCTTCACTAAGTTACTTCTAGGTTGGTAACCCCTCTTGAAGTTAATTATTTCTCTATACAAGTCTCTAATGTTCTTGTTCTTACTGTTCATTGCAAGCTCATCAATTTTGTCTTTCAGATATTCCCTCTTTTTGTTCCTGAAATGCCCGCTGGTTTCACGTCTTATATTGTTCAGATTATCCCCCTTTAACTCACTTAGATCCTGTAACCCTTGCAATTTGGCCTGCTTTCTTTGATCTGATAATTTTGAGCATCCTTCAAGAACCATGGCTTATGCTTCGTCGGTTCATAATAACCTAGACTCTCTTTAGCAGATATTTTTATATTCTCTCTAATAGTTTCCAAGGATTTATTAACATCCACCTCAGTTTCCAAGTTTTCCAAGGCCGTGAACCTCTTTGAGATTTCAAAACGATACTGCTCTTTAACCTCTACCTTATTTAATTTCTTGAGATTGAACCTCTCCATATGAACTCTATGAGTTGTTTGTTTGCTAACTGCCAGTCTTTCCCTAACCTTTGCCACCACTAAGAAGTGGTCAGTATCACAATCTGCTGCCATGTATGATCGGCGCAAAGGATCCCCAAGGCCATAAACCTAGGTTTTCTAGTCCGGAGCCGCTATTTCCTTGAAATAGCTCCTCGATTATCCTCGCGAGGTTGAGAGAACAAAGTTCCAGACCTGCTGTTTCTCAGAAAATATGGTAGCGCCGGGAATCGAACCCGGACCTCTAGATCTGTAGCCAGGAACTCTGACCACTAGACCACGGAGGAGGCCTAAGATTTAATATAACTGTTATGCATGGCATGTTGTATTGAAGACGCAGAGTACACATGAGAATAATGACAAAAATTACCAAATATAACAGAGTGGTAAGTAAATCATAAGAGAAACGACCCGTAACTGTTCTAGTTATGATCTGATTTGAATTAAATGGTATAGCTAGTAGGTGGGGGTCAGGGGTTTGAATCTCGGCAGGGGTAAGTTTTTTTTATCCTCAACGTCCAGACTGGTTCTGAAGCCCGCTAAACCTTCTGTCCAATGGATTGTGGGGCCGAATTCCCCAGGGTTAAAGCCCGCCGAGACGTGAAACCGATCAGTCACCTCTATGTAGTGTCGAAGTCAAGAATGGTGGAGCTATAATTGCAATCCACAATATGCCTCTATGGCATGATGCTTAATTAATTAAGCGCAAAGACATATTTACCTCACTTTCGGTGAGTTTGACTTCGTGGTTCAGGGAATTCCAGACCTTCTGCAGTTGGATAACAACAATTAGATTACATGCAGTAAGTCTCAACCAAATACAAACCTTTGATTTCGATCAATATTTTAGAAATGTGATTGAGGAAATTAGCCGGTCACAGTAGCCGGAGCTAAGGCATGAACTGCCTTCGCTCACTCGGACGCTAGGATCGTTGGTTCGAATCCCGCTCAGGGCATGGATGTTTGGTGTGCGTATATAAGTTTATTCTGTGTTTGTGCTGTCCTTTGTTTAGGTAGAGGGTCTTGCGACTGGCTGATCACTCACGCAAGGAGTCCTACCGTGTGTGAAATGAATATGGAACTGAGTTAGAGGCCAGGGACCTGAATGGGCTGGAAAAACAAATGAAAAAAAAAATCAGGAAGTTAATGAAAAGCTAGTTGTTGATATTCCGTAGTATATTAGTGATTCAGAATAATACAACAACAATTTAGATCTGTAACAGAAATTCCAGCAAAAACAATGTTGTGTGTACTTTACTATTTTCTTAACATTTCAAGGCGGTTACTGTACTGATTGTCCTGTTTGCTAGTTGCGGTACTAGGTGTCCTCATAAGTTGCTAACAACGCTGCCGAGGACTATGGTACCTCTAGGTTTAGAGCCGAAGTGAACAAGACTTGTAAGCGGTTAGGTCAGAGCAATCTTACACACTTGAACCCTGGAACTGTGGGCAACATTTTCTTCCTAAACGTTGGTAACCAACTACAAGACTGCATGATGTCAAAATGTGAATTATGCAGACTTTTGTTTACAATTACACAATCGCCATAATTATCATATCCACTTCCTGGCACTTTACCCTTAACGAGATGGATATCAGTGAAAATCGAGTTAGGGAATCGTGAATATATTTTAAATATTTTAATTCATCAAAGGGTTAATCGATTTAATTTTCTCATTCAGTAAACTATATATTTCGGTCAGATGTGGTTTGCAAGTAAATAATTTTGCCCCACACATTTATTATACATAATCTGCAGAGTCTGCAATAAATGCATATGTTCAATAAGTACTGGCTCGTGAATGTGTTATTCCCAATGGCATAACTCACACGTTTGTTTTCTTTTTGTTCGCTTAAGTATCATTTTAATTCTTGTATTTGGGTTTTACTCAGGTCTGTCCGGTAGAGTTAGGATGGCGTATCTTTTCAGTCTATGTATAGTTTCGCTATTTTCTAGTAGGTTCAGTGCTAGTGCATTAGTGTGGTTTTCTGATTTTCTTAAGTATTTTGTGTTCCGCTATTATCTTCACTGAGCACTGTGTTCATTTGTTAACCTTCACGGATCTTGTGGTGCGTTGAGAATTGAAAGCATTGGAGGATTTCGACGTTGGAGGCTGTCCCCATAGCTGAATTCCATAGATCCATTGGGATTAAAGAAATAAAATATATTGAATTACAGAGTTAAATAGGTCACTTTTACGAAGAAAATATAATGAATTCTTGGAGTACGTACTAAGATATACATTTTATGCTACAGTGTATTTTCTATGATTGTTTAAAAAGTAAAGGTAAGAGTACATGAAGTGCCATATCGGGAGGGGGTCTATATGCAGTTAGGTGACAAGAGCCATGGGGCATCCATTCATAATTTAATATTTCATATTATTAATTTACCTAGCATTTTCTGGAAGGACGTTGAAGTAACGTATATATAACAGGCTCTGTAGGTGTATATAATGTATGTTGTG